ATTACAAATACAGCCCTCGAACAGTTTCTTTCCTACTTTAGTATCCACTGCACTCAATGGATCATCAAGTAAGTAAATATCGGCATCTGAATAAACTGCCCGTGCTAATCCCACCCGCGCTTTCTGACCACCACTGAGGGTCGCTCCTCGCTGTCCGATCTCTGTGAGATCGCCATGGACGAGATCCGTAAAATCTTTGCTCAAACCGCATACATCTACAACATGTTGAAACTTCTGCTCGTCAAATGGAAGCCCAAACAAAATGTTCTCTCTTATGGTTCCAGAGAATACCCAAGGTACTTGAGGAGCATAGGCTATCTTTCCTTGATAAGAAATCTTTCCCTCGTGAAGAGGTAGTTCTCCAAGGACGGCTCGTAACAGGGTTGACTTTCCACTTCCAACTTCACCTATTATAGCGAGGATTTTGCTACTTATGATGTCTAAAGTAATGCCAGTTAAGGTATTGGGTAGATCCTTTTGGTTCCAAGAGCAAGAAACATTAGTGATTGAGAGGCACAGCTTTTTAAAGTGAGAGGCATTTCCTTGATGTTCTTCAACAGATCCATGAGTAGCTAGCCAAACCGGTCTATCCTGGGGCAAGTAAGGTGTGTCATCCAAGGGGACCGTTGGAGTACTTATGGCTGGGGAGTTTTGAATGCTTGTTTGATGTGGTTTGCCTGAGGAGTTTTTCCGCCTCTTGTAGTTAGTTAACTTGACGAACACATTACTTTTCGAGCTCTCAGGGTGCTCGTCCTCAATATTTATGTGGTCTGTCGAGAGCTCGCCATCATTTTGATGTTGAGTTCCCCTAGGGTGATTATCACTTTCCTTGACAGAGAAGATAGGATTTACCAACCCATATTCTTTCACTCTTAGCTTTGTCAAGAGCCGATCATCGTTTTCTCGGGATCCTTCAGGTTTAGCCACATAGTTAGATATCTGTTCTTCAAGAAACTTCTGAATTCTATTTAGTGCTGCTACTGCATCTGCGACCATTTGCATACACATACTCAAATTGTAGCAAAATGTCGCCCTGATTGTTGTTAACCCCAAAAGCAGAGTAAATATCGTAAATAGAGATAACTGTATCCCCGTAAACGCCAATGTAACCACCGAGATGAGAGAGGCAATCGGAAGTGTTGTGAAGAACAAAACGACTAAGATGGCGACTATCACACCTTTTGAGCGTAAAACGGACATCTCCTTTCTGCAAAAAAAACAAAACAAAACAAAGCAAACAAAACAAGTCTTTACCGGGGACAGCTACAACAATAACTTCTTGTGACGAAAGACCCATCGACCTCTTCAGACTAGCACACTACTACCCCTGCCTTCAAACCATCTTCCCTTACTACCGTATTAACACGTCCTTTTTTTTCTTTTTACCTGCGAAGGTCACGCACAAGATCTCTAAAGTTCCACTCCCAGGCATACATCTTTACTGCACGTATTCCAGAGACAATTTCACTCATCACAATCAGCCGCTCGTCTGTGAAAGAAGCTGCTTTCTCACTTAGGCTGGCAACTTTTCTCGCTAATAAAACTTGAAACGCCACGAGACAGTAAAAAATACCAGTGCCAGTGAGAGCTTGCCAACCGATCAGGTACCACAAAATCACACTTCTGATCACGAGCTCTAACGGAGCATATAACACCATGCCCATTTGGTTTAGAGACTTCTCTATTTTCTGTGCGTCATTTGATACTAGATTTATGGTGTTTCCAGATGCTGTATTTATTAGGCTGTAACGATCCAATGAAACAACCTGAAAAGAACGGGTTCAAATTCTGTTTATAGGCAGAAAGGACATTGGGATCGTGAGATCGAGGTGCTTCAAGCGGAAGTTCAGAAAATAAAATCCTTCGATATACGTAGTGATACGAAACATTACATTGTAACGATGTTTCCAATATTACTCAGGAAATGACGCCATTTTCTGAGTTTCGATCGGACTTTGAATGTTACTACTTCACTCGCTCCTTCCATCAGTTTCTGGTAACTCGTAGGTAAGTCCGCTGACTAGCGCATCAAGGCTTTTTATAGTCGCAGTTTTTTTTATGTATGTGTGTGTCTTTTATAACTTTAGTTCTCACTGGTCAATTAGTTGAATGGAACTTTAGAAGTGGGCGGCTGTACACGATACTAAACACGCTTAAATCTTCTTCAAATTCATGTGCTGCGATCCAAATCTGTCTTGACCTTCCTATGTCACGTTTCGACTCACAATCGCTCAAGAATATTTGGACTGCAACCACAGGCAGACCACACTGTGCTTTTGTAGTTGATAATTGTTGACATGAGACGAACAAAATCTACGAGGGTTATGAATGAAGCCCTGATAATTACATATCTAAATGACATCTCAGTCTGAATATCTCAATAAAGTTAAATGAAATGTTAATCGACGCATTTGACACATTTTAGCCTTTATTAGTTGAAATCTTTTTTTTACGAAATTACTTTTAACCGGAGGCCGTTAAGAGAAGAAAGTGGCCGCCAACTACAACCTTCTTCCCTCCAAACTGCAATTAATGCCGAACTGCGTGAAATCTCTTCGACGGCTGTTGATCAGTTGTTGATGCTCTATGTCTTCGCCTAATTCGAGCTTCATTCCTCTAACGTTTTCCGAAAAAATCGATCCTGAAATAATGAGAACAGCTTTCTCAATATGATCGGTGCTGCACTGTATAGTAAATTTGAAACGGTCTGCGAGCTTAGAATTCCTATGGTCGCTTAGTTTGGTCTTCCTGTGTTCCAACGCGATGGTCGTATGTTTACTGAGGTTTCTCCCGCGTACATCTGATAACAAACTTTATCAGTTTTCTGCCTCGGTAGGTTATACCTCAGAATGCAAGTTATGTGAACACAAGTGTGTTTGACTGATAGCAATTTAAGGTATTAGGAAAT